GAGTCCTGAGAGCTCTAACAAAAGGCAGATTTTCAAAGGGAAGGTCAGCGTGAGTGAGCAAAGGGCTTTGGCTTTGGTCCCTTCTTTGCATTCCTTCTGCTGTTTCTGGGTCTGCCCAGAGTCCAGCTTTCCCTCGGCCTAGTGATCTGAGATCAGATTAGCATCCCGTACTGAGGATTCGCCAGGAGCTATTGGCTATGATGAGGAGGCTCTTCATGGTCCCCTTTGCTCTGACTGCCCATCAGATCTCTTCCTCATCTAGACTTCCTCATCCGGCACCCTTGTGACATCATTAGTCACAGAGGAACTGTCGTTTGGAGGCCTAGGAGGAAGGCACTTGGAGTTCTTTTACTGGGTTAGAATATGGAACACATTTTTGACGAAATATCCAAAGCAAAATTACAAAATGTTACATATAGAAACCGAGGATTATTCACTACAACCCCATACACCCGCCAGCCACCTGTATGTAACCTAAACTTGACGTTTGGTGCACTTTCCAGGTTCGTGTAAAATGGAAATGTTTTCAGCCACAAGTCAACACTTACTTCTTTATTTGGACTTCTGAGTTGAAGTAGCAACACTTACTGTCTGGGAGATGAATTCCAAATTCTGCATTCTTCTTAAAACTGTGAAATTTTTTTATTGTTATTGTATGTGTGCATGCTCACGTGACACAGCGCACATGTGGAGGTCAGAGGATAACTGTGGAATAAGTTCCCTTCTCCCACCTTTATGTGGGTTCTGGGGAACAAACTTACATTGTCAGGTTTCCAAAGCAAGAGCCTTTACCTAGTGAGCCATCTTGCTACACGCCCTGCAAAGAATTTATTTATTTATTTATTTACACTCCAGATTATATCCCCCATGCTGGTCTACCATCTCACTGTTCCATATCCAATACCTCCTCCCTAACCCCCTGTCTCCACGAGGATGCCCCCACCTCCCACGCCCCCCCCCACCTGACCTCTAAACTCCCTGTGGCCTCCAGTCTCTTGAGGGTTAGGTGCATCATTTCTGATTGAACACAGACCCAGCAGTCCCATGCTGTATATGTGTTGGGGGCCTCATATTAGCTGGTGTATGCTGCCCTTTTGGTGGTCCAGTGCTTGAGAGATCTCGGGGGTCCAGAATAATTGAGACTCCTGGTCCTCCTACAGGATCACCCTCCTCCTCAGCTTCTTTCAGCCTTTCCCTAATTCAGCCACAGGAATCAGCAGCTTTATGGATCTGAGACGGAACTTAATGACAGAACACTTATCTGAATCCACAAGATCTTGGTCTGATCCTCAGCACTGGAGATGAACTATGAAAAGGGCAGACCTAGCATGTTCCTCCCTGCTCACTCCCATTCCCTCCTCCAGAGAGAATTCTGGTTTTGCTATTTCCATGGAGAATTGCTAACTTATTTTAACATTACTCAGCATCATACCTTCTATCTTACGTAACCCAGTTAAGAGCACAGCAAACAGGGTTTTTATCACTATAGTGGTGAGAACCAGGCTTTGGGATAGTGTGAAGCTGAACAACTCCTCTGACACACAACTAGTAAGAACTGGACTCTCTCTCTCTCTCTCTCTCTCTCTCTCTCTCTCTCTCTCTCTCTCTCTCTCTCTC